TTGAGGTCCCCCGCTGCAGTTGTATTAGTGCTTATTTGGTGTTTCATCTTCCTTGATATTTGTTTGTATAGTTGGGACATTAGTGTTTGGTGCATATATATTATGATTATCATCTCTTCCTCTTGGATTTTTCCCTTGTCCTTCTTTGTCTCTCTTAATTAGTTTTGGTTTGAAATTCTCTGTCTGCAAATAAGATAGCTACCCCTGCTTTTTTCTGAGTTGCTGTCACATGGAGAACTGTTTTCCACCCTTTTACTTTCAGTCTGTAAGTTTCTTTTTCAAGTAGGTGTGTTTCTTGTATACAACATATTGTTGGATTTTGCATCTTAATCCATTCTTCCAGTCTATTTCTTTTGATTGATGAATTGAGGCCATTAACATTAATGGTTATAACTGATATGTATTGACTTATCATTGTCAGGTTATTTTCCTGTTGTTGGTTCTTTTTTTATTTTTCTCCTTCTCCCTTTAAATTCTTGCCTGTTGGATTTGCTCTGTTTGATTTCATGGAGTTATGACCTTCATTGTCTTTTTCTGGGATTTTTTAAAAATTGTTTGCAGTGCTGATTTGATATTCATGAAAGTTCTCAGATGTTCTTTTTCATGAAAATATCTTATTTCTCCATCAATTTTGAAAAATAGTTTTGCAGGATACATCAGCCTAGGTTGGAGGTTGTTTTCTTTTAAAACTTGAAATACCTCACTCCAAGCTCTGCTTGACTTGAGGGTTTGTGTTGAAAAGTCTGCTATGATTCTGATGGGCTTTCCTTTGCATGTAATTTGTTTCTTTTCTCTAACTGCTTGTAGTATTGTATACTTCTGTTGGGTTTGTGGGATCTCGATTACTATATGCCTAGATGTGGATTTTATTTTATTATAACTAGTTGGAGTCTTGTACACCTCACTTATCTGTATGTCAAGTTCTTTTGCTTTGTTTGGGAAGTTTTCTATCATTAATTCTGTGAACAATTTTTCATGTCATTTGTGCTTTCTCCTGCTTTTTTGTGGACTCCTATTAATCTTATATTATTCTTTGCATCATCTAGAATCTGTGAGATTGATTTCTCATGGTCCCTTGCTATTTTTAAGAGATCTCTCTTTTCATGGTCACTGACTGCCATCCTAAAAATTAAGCAATGGCAGAAGAGGAGGAGAAAAATTGAGATAAAGTATCTTGAAAAAGAAACTAATAGAATCATATAAAAGTAACAGAAAGAGCAAATAAGAAAAAGGAAAAAACAGCAAAATAAAAGGAAAATTAGAAATGAATATAGAAAAACCTCAAACCAATGAAGAAAAAAAAGTCAATAATAATTCCTTTGTATTTTTCAATAGATATCTTCTTTCCAGGATCTGTAGTCTTGAAATCCAGCAAGTCATGGTTTCTTCCACCTGGATTTATGGCTTATGGGTTTGTGAGGTGCCCTGCTGCTCCATAAGCCCCTCTGTCCATACACCTGTCCATACACCTGAGACTGTGGCAACTATCCAAGCTGAGACATGTCCTTGCTCTCGTTGGTGGTTAGGGAAAGCAATTGGACCACTGATCTTTGCTAGAGTTAATGCCAGTACTTTCAGATCCACCCACCACTGAAAGCCACACTCACCAGCCCTATTTTCTCACCACACAACTTAGGGCCTTCTGGGCCTTAGTTTAAACTTCTCACGAGGTCTGTGTCTAGCCTGCACCCTCTCCATGATGGTCTCTTTTGGCTGCCTTTTTCACCCATTCACTGTGGTAGGGTTAACACTGGAGACCCTGAAGTGAAGTTGTTCTATGGTTATTCTGTGGCTCAGCCTTTCTTTTTTTCCTCTTTTTTTTTTTTCAATTTGAACTACTTTGTTTATTTTTGAAAATAACCTTTTTTTTTCTTTTATTGAGTTTATTGGTACATTTTAGGTATACAGTACAGTTACATTCATTATTGGGATCTTGTACCTTTACATGACAGGTGGCCTTGGTTCTAATTTTTTTTTTTTTTCAGCCTTTCTTAAACAATTAACCCCTTCCCAAAATGGCTTCTGATTAAATCCTCTCAAATATGGCAGGCACTGCACTAGATTTCTTCTCTAACTCTAGCCTGGTCTACTGGAGGAGTCACTTTTAGAGTAAAACTGCATGCTGTGTTTATATTTTACAGTAACTGTGCTTTTCTTAGGGCTACCATTGGCGGCCTGGTTGGTTGTTTCTCCCTGGCACTACCAACCTCCAGGCTTATCTTTTCTCCCTGTCTTTTGCCTTTTCCATTTGGTACCTCTGCTGCCCTGCGCTGAGAGGAAACAGAATACAGAGCAGGCTTGGAGTTGGCTGGTGGTTGGAGCCAGGGCATGCAATCCACAGGCACAGAGTGGCCCAAGGGTAAACGAACATAGTTCTCAAGCTTTCTCGCTTTTGTCTGGTGGCAGGGGCTCTGGGCCTCCAGCTTTGTGAGCCTGATTTCATATCTTTTGGGTAGAAGATACTCAGTAGAGGAATTATCAGATCATATGGTAGTTCCATTTTAATTTTTTGAGGATCTTCTATATTCCTTTCCATTGTGGCTGTACTAATTTACATTCATAAAAACAGTCTGCAAATGTTCTTTTTTTCACACAAATCAATATTTATCTTTCATCTTTTGTGTAATAGCCATTCTAACAGATGTAAAGTAATATATCATTGTGATTTTAATTTGCATTAAATTGTTGATATATGGTTAATGATGTTGAGCTTTTTTTCATAAAACTATAAAGCCATCTGTATACTTTTAATTCATATCTACTTAGATCCTTTGATCACTTTTTAATCAGGTTATTTATTTTCTTATGTATTTTTAATGTTTAGTTCTTATCATATATATGGTTTGTTAATATATTCTTCCATTTGGTGGGTTATCTCTTTACTTTGTTTCCTTTGCTATGCAGATTCTTTTTAGTTCAGTCATAACCTTCTTTGTCCATTTTTGCATTGGTTGCTTGTGTAAAATTATAAATACTTCTTAAAATTCATTCACTATGAAATAAGAATAATTTGGTCCCTTCTTTCTTTGTTGTTGTAACTGGAAGGAGGAAGGAAGAAATGTATAAGAGTAAGAAGCTTAGTTTTTAATGTTACTTCCTACATAATAACTTGATACGTCACTTGCCAGGGACCTTACTTGGCCTGAAGATAAAAATGACATTTAAATCATTAAGAGAAGAAAGAACATAGAAAAATTAAACACAATAATCTTGGCAATAGATTAAGTTTTAATCATACATTTAAACTTTCTTTTATCTAATTCAGCAAATCAGCATATCATATATGTTAACATTTGCTGAATCCAAGATCAGTGCTTTGTCAGTTGCCATTTCTCAAGTGTGAAGGAATAACATAGTGATTATAGTATATAGCAGTATATTGTATGCTTGGAGATTGCTAATGGAGTGAACGAATATGGGGAGATGTAGGCCAAGGAATACAGTTATATATATGTAAAACGAATAAGCTTAGAAATCTAATGTATAACATGAAGACTATAGTTAATATTGTGCCAGACATGGTGGCACATGCCTGTAATCTCAGCACTTGCAGGGTCCCAACTTCAATCTCCGGTAACAATAAAATAAAATGGGATAGAGATGTAGCTCACTGTGAAGGCCTTGGGTTCAATCCTCAGTACCACAAAATATAAAAATGGAGTTGTATTTGAGATATTTGCTAAAATAGTCAATTTTAGGTGTTCTTGACACTTATACATACTAAAGGGTTAGCTTTGTGTGTGTACCATGCTGTATACCCTCAATATGTAAAATTTGAAAGTTTTTAAAAATCATTGAGATGGTAGCAACTTAACTAGCATATGCCAAGGCCCTGGGTTCAATTCCCAGTGGATGCACCCCCCAGAAAAACATTGAAAGAGTAGATTTTAAGTGTTCTCACCACAATAAGTATGTGAGGTAATACATAAGATAATTCCTTCAATTTAGCTATCTCACACATATTTCAGATTATGATATTTACACCCTGAATATATATAATTGTTATTTCTCAGTTAGTTTGTGGTGGGGAGGTAGCTCAGTGGCATACACAAAGGCCTAGATTTGATCCCTAGCACTGCAAAAAAATGAAAAAAAAGAAAAGAAGAAAAATTTTTGAAAAACATACAAGTCAAATCTGAGACAACCACTATTTAGAAATCCTAGAATGTTGGGATATGTGTGAAAACAACTTTTTTTATCTGCTGTAGCATACCTGAGAGAAGGGCAGTAATTTAGTAGTTGTTTACTGGAAGGATAAAAATGACTGAGTCTAGACAGAAGCATATGTACTTTGGAAATACTCCCTTCTCTTGCTGGGCATGCTCCCGTGCCAGCACACATGTATACCTTCCATGAATCCATACTTCAAGAATATCCTGAGAGAATAATGAAACTTTTTACACCCACATATGGTAACCTCTTAAACAGATAAGTATTGTCTTTTCTCCAGGGCATTTCCATAAAAGATTTTTGTAACACTTTATAGAAGCCAGTTCTAACATTTTATGTACCTAAACTTGATTGCATTGTGAGTCTTATTCTATGTATAACAAAAAAATTAAAAAAAAATGCCCACTGTGATTATAGACTCAATTTACCATACTGCATTTTCAAATACTTTGGTTTATTGTGGCAAAAATGAAATCACTAAGTTGACAAAGACTGGCTTGCTACTGTAAGACTAGTTAAGAATCAACTGTACAATCAGAGGCACTGTCAAGGAGAAGTTTATAATTGTGTTGAGAAAGTCTTCAGCAGTTTTTCATATTTGAGAAATGAAATCCGTGGGACCCAAAACTTGTAAAATGTGTAAAAACAGAATTCATCACCTTATCATATACTTGTACCTCAGATTGGTAGATGGTTGTATAGTTTCTTTTTTGGTAATGTTATTCATTTTCTACTTGTCAAAAAAAAGTTGTATAATTATTTCTGAAGCATTCTCCACTGTCTCACAATGACCATCCTGTTGTCCTCTCTCACTGTGCTTACCTCTGCAGGTAAAGGTTGCTATCCTTAAATACATAGAAACTCTGGCCAAACAGATGGATCCAGGAGATTTTATAAATTCCAGTGAAACTCGCCTAGCAGTGTCTCGGGTCATCACTTGGACAACAGAACCCAAAAGTTCTGATGTTCGGAAGGTGTGTTTTTTTAATAAGGCTTAGACAATAAATTGGGAAAGCAAGTAGTTTTGGGTTGTCAATGAAGGAAACTAATGTTTTCAGAATGCTGCCAGGTAGCAGTGAGTTATAAAGTTCTTTGTGTAATCTTCTTTTTAAAATTATTTTAAATTTTATCCAATTGATACAAGCATAATATTCAAACAGAAGAGTCAACCACAATCCTCTAAACCTCTTATATTCAAAATACTCTGAACCAGTCTCCTTGCATTTACCTGTGTATTCCAAATAAGAGCCGATATCATTTCTTGATTTACCATTTTTAAGCATTATTCATTGATTTGTTGATAATATAGGCATTATATTTATTTACCTGAGTGTATCGGCTTTCCCATCGCTGTGACACAATACCTGACACCAAAAACTTAAAAGAGGAGAGGTTTAATTTGGCTCACAGTTTGAGGAGATTCAGTTGATGATTCTCTGATGGATCCAAGACAGGAGTATTGTAGTAGAAGGGCATGACGGAACAAAGACACTTCATTCACGTGCCAGAGAGGAAGGGACCAGGGACCGTGCATAGCACCCAAGGTCTTACCTCCATGAGTCATCTAGACACATCCAGACGTGTGCTCTACTAATTCCTTAGGCAGCTTCCAAGCCAAGTATGTTGGCTCAGCTAAGTTTAACCACTACGATTAGTATATGAAGGCTTACTATTCCCGTATTATTCCTATATTCTTTCTTATATCCTTCTCCATACTTTTAAAATATTTATGCAGTCTGGGGATTTAGCTCAGTAGCACTGCACCTGCCCAGCAAGTGCAAGGTCTTGCGTGTGATCCCTGGTACCAAATTAAATAAATATATACATACATACTTATGAATCAGTTATTGGTCATCAACAGAAAACACTGACATTTGGCTGTGCAGGCACTTGCTCTTATACCAAATGGTTTGTTACTGTCTCCATTTGTTTGTTTGTTTGTTTGTTTGTTTTTTGTTCCAGGAATTGAACTCCAGTCCCTTGCACTTGCAGGGCAGGCAGCAGTACCACTGAACTAAATCCCCAGCCCTACTGCCTCCTTTTTTGAAGAAATTTGTTTTAGGATTGATAATTTTCTTTGTTTCACTTGCTTGAACTTTTAAAGATGTTTTTAAACATCTGTTAATATTTTCAACATTAACAGGCCGGAAATTTTAGCTCAGTGGTGCTGCAACCTGCCTCACAAGCACAAGGTTTTGAGTTCAATCCCAGTACCAAAAAACAAACAAACAAAAAAATATTTTCAACATCTCTGCCACTTCCTATGGCTAAGATTGTCAATATACTACAAAACATATATTATTGATTTATTTTTTGGCAATCTCCTTCCTATTGTCCAATTTGGACATGCTTTTCCCTAATCTTGCTACACAGGTGTGTTCCTGGGCCTTCTCTTCAACATCTTTCCAAGACTTCTAGTCACCTGGAGTTATTCATTTTTTGAGTCCTGTGTCTACTTCTGTTTACTCTCATTTCCTGCACTAGTTGCTGCAAATAAGTGTTGTGAACATTATTAAGTGATAAAGACTGCATCCATAAACAATAAAGTATACATTCTCTGGAATACCTCAGACATACTGCTAAGTCATGAAACAGATCTCAGTGGTTTAAAACAATAGAAGTTACACAAAGAGTGTTTGTTCTCTGATCACAGTGGAATGAAATAGAAATTAGGAACAAAAGAAATTTGGAAAACTCACAAATACATCAAATTGTATAATTCACTTCTTAAATAGCCAGAAAGCCAAAGAAGAAATAAAAGGTAAATTAGAAAATCCATTGAAATGAATGAAAATTAAGATATGCCAAAACTGGTGGGATGCACACCTGTCATCCTTACACTTGGGAGGCTGAGGCAGGAGGGTTGCTGTGAGTTCGAGGCCTGCGTGGGCTACATAGTGAGTTCGAGGCCAGCTTGAACTGTTACACAGTGAGACCCTGACTCAAACAAACAAACAAAATTAAAAGAAAAAGACTTACAGTTAAACCATTGCTTGGGGAACTTTATAGCTATTGGTGCTTAGAAGAAAGCTATCAAGTCACCACCTTAAGAAATTGGGGCTGGGGAGTGGCAGGGAAGTAAACCAATCCTGAATCCAGTAGGAAGAAAGACATAATTCTATAATTATAATTTTTACTCTCATAAGTAAAATTAAAGAAATTAATAGAAGACAGGAAAACAGTAGAGAAAAACCAGTGAAATCAAAAGCTAGTTCTTTGGTAAAATTAGTAAATTGACAAGCTTTTAGGTACATTGACCAAGAGAAAAAGACTTACAGAAACTGTTGGCACATTTTTAAGCAAAAGAATGATATGGAGGGCTGGGAATTTAGTTCAGGGATAGCGTACCTGCCTTACAGGCACCCATAATCCCAGCACTCAGGAGCCTAGAGCAGGAGGACTGCTGTGAGTTCAAGGCCAGCCTGAACCACATAGTGAGCCCTGTCTTAAAAATAATAATAATAAGGAGCCAGGGATTTAGCTCAGCAGTTTGGTGGCCTGCCTTGCAAGCGCAAGGACCCAAATTCAATCCCCAGTACTACTACTACTACTACTACTGCTACTACTACTACTACTAATAATAATAATACCTATGTGTTTAAACACTGGCTAATAAGACAAAAATGGACTGTTGGTGTTTTCCATAATATAGGAGAAAGTGAAAGAGCATGGGTTGATACTAAAAAGAACCTAAATTCTCACATTAGATAGCAGGAAATCCATAGAAATGTCTGAAACTTATACAAAATAAATATGTAAACCTATGAATGCCTAACTATTGGTAAAAACAAACATTGCAGAGAAGAATTCTGGAAAACTAAACAGAATTGAGAATTGCAAAATTTTTTCTATAGCTTTGTTTTTTAAAAAATCATATGTATGTATTACTTTGCTTTAAAGACCTGAAAGTTATTTAAAATATAAAATACATCCAGTAAAGCAAAAGTGACAGAAGAAAATTTTAAACAAGATATATAGAGGACTTTATTAAAATATACTGAATCAGTAGTCATACTAGGTGAATAAATCAATGAAATATAAAGGAGGATCCAGAGACACTTAGATTTATACAGGAAGTTAGTTCTTGATAAGAATATAGTTTAAAATCATGAGGAAAGGATAATATACTCATCCTTTGATGAATGGTTTGGGAACAGTTGTGCTGTCTGTCCGTAAGGCAGAAGTACAGCTTAATCGCTAAATCGAACTGAACAGTACATGGAGTGAAGTGTGCTTTAACAATCATTGATGTATTCACTCAGATTAAGTTGAGGTCCCTTCAGTGGGAATCTAAAAAGTAGAAGATCATAAATTTTTGTTTTCAAAATGCACCATTACCATATTAAAGTGTACACCCACACAGTATTTCCTTTGTTTTTATAAAATGAGCTCATGTTGTAGCCACTGTTTTATATACTTCTCCTACAGTAATCTCAAATAAACTTCTCCTGATTTCTCCACAAATACAGCTATGTTACCTTCCAAGAGTGTTGTATAATATTCCACTGTTTCAATACAACACAATTGAATCATTCTTCTGTTGTATATTCAGATGCTATAAGTGTAGCACTGAAATTTTTGTAAAATAATGTCAGAAAAGTTCCATACAAGGTACACATATTTATATACAGGTTATATGACATTTGTGTTTTTCTTTCCTCTTAATGTTCTTTTTTTTTTTTTTTTTTTTTTTTTTTTTTTGTACCGGGGATCAAACTCAGGACCTTGTACTTGTGAGGCAGGTGGCAGAACCACCAAGCTAAATCCCCAGCCCTCTACTCTTAATTTTCTGTATAACCTGAACCTCAATGATTGACTTTTAGTAACTCAGTTAATTACTTTAGAAGACAAAAAGAAATGTGTACATTTTCTTGACTAAGCTTTGTTTTTTTCCTATTTCTACTAAACAGACTTATTTTAGCATCAGACTGTAGACTTGTTAGATTATCTGCTTGGCACAAGATACTACTAGTTATTTTATGAATCACATACTGAGAAAGTAGAAATTCTAGTGTTAATTTTCTCTGGATAGGTTATATATAGCTATCCTTTTTCCTTGTAATCATTTATTAGGAAAACTGAAATTGTAGTGTATATATATATAGACAAAGTAACCCTAAAAGGTGTCTGTCTAGTTAACTTTTGCTTTTGTTATACTTGTACTTTTCATATTCTCTTCTTACTTCAAAAACTAAATGGTAAGTCAAATTTTTTTTATCCTTCCTAGGGTTGGGGTGTAACACAGAGGTAAACTGCTTGCCTATTATGCACAAGGCCCTGGGTTCAATCCCCAGTATTGGGAAAAAAAATAAAGTATGTTCTTCAAAGGCAAGAAGTGTGAAAATGAGAAACTTCATCTTTTTCACTGAGATCCTTATTTATGCTGTTGAACAAAAAATGTGACAGAAGAAAATGGTCAGTTTTGAGTAAGCAAAATGCATTTATCTACTTTCTGTATGCCTTTGTTTTTTAGGCAGCACAGTCAGTGCTGATTTCTTTATTTGAACTCAATACCCCAGAGTTTACAATGTTATTAGGAGCTTTACCAAAAACTTTTCAAGATGGTGCTACCAAACTGCTTCATAATCACCTTAGAAACACTGGCAATGGAACCCAGGTATTTCTCACTTTTTTTCTTGACTATTGTATAATCTGATGGCTTAACAGTATGTAACATGATGTATACCTGATCCTAGTATATTTTTTTTTGTTTGTTTGTCGGTTGGTTGGTTGGTTTTTTGAGACAGGGTCTCACTTTTAGTTGAAACTGACCTGGAACTCTCTATGTAGCCTAGGCTGGTCTCGAACTCACAGCAATCTTCCTGCCTCAGCCTCCCAAGTGCTGGGATTACAGGCGTGCGCCACCACGCACGGCTCCTAGTATATAATTTTTGCATCTGCATCAGGCAGCATTTCTTTTTTTCTTTTTTTTTTGGTACCAAGGATCAAACTGAAGACTTTGCACTTGTGAAGCAGGTGGCGGAACCACTGAGCTAAATCCCCATCCCAGGCAGCATTTCTTGAAAAGAATGAAATATTATCTTGGGAAGAATTGCATCCCTAGGCCTGCCATGTTTGTTTTATAATTTGTGTCCATTAGAGTACTGGTGAGTAGTAGCCAAGGCATAAATAAGGAAGCCAAATGGGAGCAGAACATAGATAAGCACTCCAGCTGTAGATGAACCAATCCTTATTTGAATATTAAAATGGATTACTTATTCCAAGATTAACAAATAAGGTTCAAAGAGAGTAATGCTTTATGATTACAGGCTTATGATTTTACATGTGTTTACACAGGGTTTTGTTTTGAGGAAGTAAGGTTTGAGCAAATCAAACATTGAAGTGGGATATATAAAGTTTACAGAATACACCTAAGAACTGGACTAAATTTTGAAACAGAAACAGATAAAGAGAGACACTACTTTGGTAACAGATAAAGGAGAATGTAGGTTACTTGTTATTATGCTTAAGGTAAAGTATGATGGTTAAAATTAATGTAAAATAATCTTTTATGAATCAGTCACTTTGTAAAAAGATAAGGGTTATTTCATTATATTTTAAGAGATGGACAAAATAATAAGACCAGGTTTCATTCCGTTGGTGTCTTCGTGAAGGTTATTTGTTAAGCAAGAGGAATAAAATTTGATTGTAGCAATGATTTGCAAATAGACAACAGGCTCAAAATAGGAAGCTAATTTGAATGTGAAAAAAATGGAAATAAAGTGTTTGTAAATGGGGAGGGGAGGAGGGGGTGAAGGGAGGGCAGGGATAAGGGAAAAAAATGAGAACCAAGACCTGTCATGTAAAGGTACAAGATCCCAATAATGAATGTAACTGTACTGTATACCTAAAATGTACCAGTAAACTCAATTAAAAAAAAAAAGAAAGTTAATTTGAAATTTTTAGTTTAGGATCCTGTTGAATCTTTGAAGAAGAAGATATTGATAATATTTGAGAGAAAGGAAGCAGGTAAAAAACACAAAAAGACTAAAGAGATTTCAAAAAAAATTAAGATGGGTTTTGTACCCATACCAACTCCCCATGAGGAATGTTTTTTGTGGGGGGTACCGGGGTTCAAACTTAGGACCTTGCACTCAAGAGGCAGGCAGCAGCACCACTGAGCTAAATCCCTGGCCTGAGGAATGTTTTTATTGTTGTTTGTTTGGTTGGACTTTTGAGACAGGATCTTGCTATGTTGTTCAGGCTAGCCTTGAATTCACTAGATAGCCCAGGTGGGACTTGAACTCAAAGCCATCCTCCTGCTTCAGCCTCTTTAGTGCTGGGATGACCACCATACCTGGCTCCTCATTAGGAATGTAATCATTATGTACTGCAAAATGTGTACTAATAAAAAATGCTTCAAAATAGGTTTCTGAATTTGGAGAAAAGTCCCCCCCAAAACCAGCTATATTGAATTATCAATGTGATTCCTTGATATGATTCTCATGATTATATATGGCTTTGAGAGCTTTTAGTGGGATTTTTAATTCATGTGTTAATATTTATTTGACCCCCTTCAATCAGAGTTCCATAGGGAGTCCTTTGACAAGACCAACACCACGATCACCAGCCAACTGGTCCAGTCCTCTTACTTCTCCTACCAACACATCACAGAATACTTTATCTCCAAGGTAATGAAAAGATAACGTTCCATCATGCTTGGGGGCGGGTGATATCAGGGATCAAACTCAGGACCTTGCGCTTGCCAGGCAGGCGTGGTGCCCCTGAGCTACATCCCAAGCCCTCCATCATGTTTTGTATTTGTAAAGTTCTATTCTTAGAAAAGCCAATGGTAATATACTTCTAGTCAGTTTCCACTTGACTTAAAAGGTATTAGAAAAGAACAAATTTGGCAAGTCAAACAGTTTTAAGTTTACTCAAAAGCTAACCATTTAAATGATAATGATATTTCATGTGAACGTTTTTTGAATGGAAAAGAAAACCTACTGGTACAACTTTTGTTACTAGCATAGCTAACAATTCTCAGATGCATTATAAACTCAGTAAATTATAAATTGTCTTTTTTTTTTTTTTTTGGCTGTGCCAGGGATCCAGCTCAAGACCTTGAGCTTGCAAGGCAGGCATGGTGCCACTGAGCTAAATCCCCAGCTGCTTCATTTATATTACTTAGTATAAATAGGTAATTTATAATGATGGATATTTAAATCTAATATTGACCAGCTACCTCTAAAAGTAAGGAAGAAAATTAAGTTTATAGACAAAGCATAAAAATAGAGGGGATGTGTACTTTACCTACATTTATAGCTACCATGATTTATTTTGTTAATCATACTTCAAGGAATATATATTTTCTTTTTTTGGTGCCGAGGAAAAGGAACATACATTTTCTAATCCTATCCTTAGATATGTTTGTATTTTAAAACTGTACATAAATAAAAATTAGTGTTATCTTTTTCATAGTGCATTTGATTATGACACAGAAAATATGAACTCTGAAGATATTTATAGCTCTCTTAGAGGTGTCACTGAAGCAATCCAAAATTTCAGCTTCCGTAGTCAAGAAGACATGAATGAGCCATTGAAAAGGGATTCTAAAAAAGATGATGGTGATTCAGTGAGTATTTGAATATTCTTACTTTGTAGACGGTTTCAGTCTTTGTTAACTTATTTTTTTTCCTTTGCATTCTGGCATTTTTCAGAAGTAATTTTTAAGGGTCATTTACTCTATAAGTATTTAGTAGGTACCACATGCCATGCAGTGTTATACAGTAGTTCTTAGATTTATAAGACATGTCGTCAGATTTCCTTTGGCTACTCAGATAGAAATTATACTATAGAAGTTTTTTGTTTTGGGGGGGGGTTTTTTTGGTACTGGGGATCAAACTCGGTACCTTGTACTTGGGAGGCAGGCCAGCAGCATCCACTGAGCTAAATCCTCAGCCCAATAGTGGAGTTTGTTTCAAATGTGCCTTGTAGGAAGGTGAATCTGTTTTAAGTTGTGTGGTTAGGGAAGACATCTCTCAAGAGATAATATTTGCATTGGGACTTCAGAAAAGCCACACAAATTCAGAGGAGCATTCCATGTAAAAACTAGCAGTTACAAAGGCAGATAGGAACAGGAAGAGGGCTGTGAAGAAAACCTCTGTAGTTGGAGCATTGTGAAGGAAAAAGAAGTAGAATGTGGACCATATGTCATAAATCTTATAAGGTAAAATTAGTTTAGCTATTTTTTTCTTTTGCTAATAGTAGAAGTGATTTGCATCATCAGTTTATGTGGCTCCAATTAAGAATGTTACAACCTGACTGATATATATGAATATTATTTATTTGCCTTTATCATTTTCAAAGATAGTTGTTTCATCCTTTGCTTTTTCTTAGACTTTTTTTGGCACCTTAGACTTTTACAAGATACCCCACCATTTCCTGTGGAATGTGTTGTTTCTTAGTGTTTGCAGAGCTGCAGAACATTAGTGTTCCAGTACAAAGTGCTTCCTTCCCTACTTTCTTGACTTCTCTCCTGCTGTTGTTTTTCTCTCCATACCTATCTGGCAGAGGTAGGTTGTGTGGGCCTAGTAAACTGGTTGCCAAAAACCATCTTAACATTCGTCTTTGAAGGTCTTTCTCTCTCCTAAAAACTACATGTGGTACCAGCAACAAGTTAATAGGAATCAGTGTTTAAGTGACACTTGAATTTGTTTTTTGAGATACCACATGGTACAAAGTAGTGGATTTTGACAGAAGTGAGTTTAAATCCCAAGTCCTGACAGTTATTAGCTAGTCAGGTGATTATTTCTAAGCCTCAATGTCCTCATTAGGAAAATAGGGTTATTACTGGCTACCTTGAAACTTGTTATAAGTACGGTACATCGTATGACTCCATCCAGCCCAGACCTCTCCTGAGGTCCACATTCATACATTCAGCATCCCATTTCAACTCCTGATCTCCCCTGAAACTGCTCCGCCCTGTCCTAGTTGATAACAATGCTACTTGCTCAGCAAAAACCTTGAGCAAAGGAGTCCTTTCTTTTTCTACTCCTCTATGCCTCATCTATCCCAAAGTCTACTAGTCTACCTTCTGTCATTGGTTTTTTGTTTTTTGGTTTTTGGGGTTTTTTTTGCTTTTTTGTGGGTTTTTTTTTTTGTTGTTGTTGTTGTTGTTGTTGTTGTTGTTTTTGAGACAGGGTCTCACTTTGTAGTTGAGACTGACCTGGAACTCACTATGTAGTCCAGGCTGGTCTCAAATTCACAGCAATCCTCCTGCCTCAGCCTCCCGACTGCTGGGATTACAGGTTGCGCCACCACACCCAGCTAGTCTACCTTCAGAATGTAGCCAAAATCTCTTACAACTGTCTTTCTGGTTTAAGTAGCCATTATCAGTTCTCTTACCTAGGCTATTAAAGTAGGAGTCTTTGGCCTCTTTCATTCTTTCCTTGGCTTCTTACAGTCTCTTCTAATTCCTCTACTCACAGCTCTGTCTCAGAGTTAAAGCCAAAGTCTATACAACAGACTTCCTACCTCCATGACTTCATCTCTATTACTTTTTTCCTTGTTCACTCAGTTCCTGCCACAGTGGCCTTCCTGTTCTTCCTTGAATTTACTGGGCATATCCCTGCCTCTGTGTCTTCGTATTGAGTATGCCTTCTGCCTAACACTGCTCTTACTCTAGCTAGCTCCATGGCTAATTTCTTCACTTTCTTCGACATTTCCAAGACTTCTTGGTGAACCCTCCTCACCCTGTTTAATCTGTGAACTCCCTTAACCACCATAGCTACCACACTACCTATTTTTTCCCTGTACACTAAACACCTTCTATCATACCATATACTTTGTTACTTTTTTTATTTCTCTGACCCTCCACTAGACTGTAAACTCCGTGATGGTAAATATCTTTCTCTCTTTTGTATATTAATCAACTTCCAAATCTGTTTTTTTTTTCTTTGTACTGGGGATCAAACCTGGGTCCTTGCACTCACAAGGCAGCCAGTAGCACCACTGTGCTAAATCCCCAGCCCTTTTTGTGTATTAATCTATTCTCAATCCCAGGAATAGTGCCTGGCATGTAATAGGTGCACACTAATTATTTGAAGAATATTTATAAAGTGCTTATCAAATGGCTTACCACACAGTGGAAATGATGATACTTGCAATGATGATGATTTTAATACTAGTATTCATGTCAGTATTAGTATTGCTATTTTGGCAAATATGTTAATGAACATCAGCTCTTGAGGCATCCCTCCAAAAGTGATGTGGGCCTTGTAAACCTTTCTTTTTTTTTTAAGCAGGACTTTTTTTTTTCTTTTCCTTTTCTCTTTATTGGTACATTTTAGATGTACAATCCAGCTACATTCATCATTGGGAAGGACTTTTAAATTTTGATTTTCTTATACTTTGTTGCCAAACAAAATACATATTAGGTCATTTACTACTTTAATAATAGAATCTGACAGCTTTTAGTTCTTTTGTTAATGAAGGACCTTTTATCTTTTCGTGGAGAAACCGTTGCTAATCACACTGTATATATTATTTGGTTGAGCCTTTGGGAAGGGAACTGTAATGATCACTGGAGATAGCATTCATTCTTAGAGTTTTCTTATTTGCCCTCACAGCTATGATTTTATATCTTTATTATAAGCTTTGTAATCTTGAATATAAATACTATTGTTGATTTTTTTCAAGTGGTTATTGCTAACTTTCCTAAATAGCTTTTTCAAGAATAAGGAAGCATCTTTTTAGAATGTTAAAGAGAAATTTGACAATGAGTTAATTTTCTGTGCTTTCCCCTTCCCATCAATAGATATGTGGTGGTCCTGGAATGGCAGACCCAAAGGCAGGAGGTGATGCTACTGACTCAAGCCAAACAAGCATTGATAATAAAGCTGCATTACTCCATTCAATGCCTGCTCACTCCTCTCCACGCTCTCGAGACTATAATCCATATAACTATTCAGATAGCATCAGTCCTTTCAACAAATCAGCCCTCAAGGAAGCCATGTTTGATGATGATGCTGACCAGTTTCCTGATGGTATGTTATGGGTCATATGGCTACTACAGTTAATCAGCAAAGCAAAAGGAATGTGTTTGCTCTTTTATTGAAATTATTTAAAATATAAGAATCTTTGGAATGAGAATATTTTTCTCCTATCTGCTATTGGTTTATTTCTGGTCATTTGGTGGTTTTCTTTTTTTTCATTGAGTTTATTGGTATTTTTTAAGCATACAGTACAGTTACATTCATCATTGGGATCTTGTACCTTTACATGACAGATCTTGGTTCTCGTTTTTTCCCCATACCCCTGCCTCCCTTCACCACCACCCCACCCTCCCCTATTTACAGTCTGTTTCCATTTTTTCCATTTGGTAATTTTCTTCTTAAGACTAACAAACAGGGTAGTCATCTTGAGATCATCTTCAAAATCAAGGAAACTAGTGTCCTCCCAGATACAGCTCAAGCTAATTGTAGTTTATAAATTTAATTAATGATATAATTCATTAATTTTTATACCAGAATGACGGAACTATTGAGGAAATAACCTTTCCCCCCCGCCCGGGGGATAGAACCCAGGGTCTTTCATGTGCTAGGGAAGTACTCTACCCCTGAGCTTGTACCACTAGCCCCTTTTTATTTTGAGACATGGTCTTACTATCTTTCCCAGGCTGGCCTCTTGTCTCAGCCTCCCAGGTAGTTGAGATTACAGATGTGCAACATCATGCCCAGATAACTATTATTTAGAATATAATGTGAAGCCATACACAAATTCATTTATTCATAAGATATAAGTACAAGTATAGGAGAAAAACTATCATTAGCTACTATTCATGTAAAGTCAAGTGAAATGGGCTTAGGTCTCAGCACTTACTAAGTTGCATAGCCTAGTAAGATGATTGACACTCCTTAGTCTTTGTTGTCACCTTTAAAAGAGGGTAGTGTGATTGTACTACCTGCCCTTATGATCATGGTGTGCAGTAGGGTACAAATAAAATGTATTCAACGTGATGATAAAGAATGATGAAACGGGCTGGGGATTTAGCTCAGTGGTTCCACCTCCTGCCTGTCAAGTGCAAGGACCCGAGTTCAATCCCTAGTGCCAAAAAAAGGGGGGAGGAGAATGATGAAGCACTGCAAATGTTTTATTCTTCATAATGAAGTGTTGACTTTTTTCTGTGGATTATATAATGCATTTTTAAAATTATTCCAATAATATATAACTATATATAAATAAACATCAAATTCTCGCTCTTAACATGTTTATATAATTCTCTGTTTAGGTAGTTTCTGGTTTTTTTATTTGCATAATATTGCTGTTAATGGGTATATTTTGAATACATTTTTATGAACGTATATAAGTAATTACTCTTAAGAGATTTTTATAGAGATAAAATTACCAAATGAAATGATACATGAATTTAAAGTTTGAGAGTTATTACCCAATTATATCTCAAAAAATACTTGAACAATTTATAGTGCTTTCTCACTAACAAAATATTTCAATGTTTCTAATTTTCATGTATAAAAAAACAGGTCATCTTAGGCCAGGGATTTGGCTCAGTGGTTCCGCAGCCTGCCTCACAAGCGAAAGGCCCAAGGTCAATCCCCACCCCCCAAAAAAAAACAGGGCATCTTAATGTGCATTCTTTATCATTGATAAGATTTAGAAATTGGAAATTTTTTCCATTTTATGATTTTGATAAGTGGAAATAATATCATTTGTATTTCTTTGATTATAAATGAGATTGAGGAATCATTTTTTAACCAGCATCTCATATTAAGAGACTTAATATATCATGAAGCCAAAATTATGTTAACTTACCAAACTAAACCATATAAGAAACTAAAAATTGCCACCATTCTGAACTTTGATGTCTTTTAATCTGTCTGAGGTTTGGTCATGATAGCAGCACAACAGAAGTGAGTAAATTGGACTTATCATGAAGATATCCTTTAAATAATATCTAATAGCAACCTCCTAATAAATTAATACCTAGCTTTAGTTGCTTTAATAATTTAAAAATTCTTTATGCACGTGTTTCACAAACTGGCAGATGAATTAGGCCCACTGACATTTTTCGGCAAGAATATGAATACAATATAATGAATTTTTTTCTTCCTGAATCATATCAAAGTAATGCATGCTAGGCAAGTGCTCTAGCGCTGAGCTGTACACATTCAGCCTTTTTTTTTTGTAAATTTTCCAATTCTGGATCTCATTAAGTTCCCCGGGCTGCCCTTGAACTTGTGGTCTCCCTGCCTCAGCCTCCTGAGTAGCTGGGACTGCAAGCATATACCTGTCTTACCTTTTTTTTTTAATCTATTTTATATGATATTACAATGGTCACCCAGGCTGTCTTTTGGTTACTGTTTGAGTGGAATATCTTTTTCCATCCTTTTGCTTTCAGCCGTGTATCTGGTCTCTTATAGAGAGCAAATAGTTGAGTCGTGTTTTTATCCATTATGCTAATCTTTATCTTTTAATAGAAGAATTTAATCCATTTACATTTAAAGTAATTTCTGAAAAGAACTTACTAATATTATGTCACTCTTTGTTTTCTTTGTACCTTATATCTTTTCACTCATTTCCTGCATTAACTCCTTTTGTCTGATTTTTTCATTATGAAATATTTAAATTCCATTCTCTTCCTTTTGTGTATGTCTTATAGCTACTGTCCTTGTAGTTACCATAGTATTTACATTTAAACATCATAAAGTTTTATATTCTAATTTGGATTTATGCCACCTTAGATTCAGTGGGATACAAAAATTATACCTTTCCGACGCCAGCTCTACCTCTTTCAGTTGCTATCACAAAATTATCTTTCTACAATTGTACACAAAAACATAAACATAAATCTTTTGTGTCATTAGTCTTTTAAATTATGTAAAAACAAAAAGAGTTATAAATCATTATTATAATGCTAGCTTTTATAATTGCCTGTGTATTTACCTTTAAGATTTTTATTTGTTCATATGGTTCAGGTTACTGTGTAGTGTCCTTGCAGTTTTTCTTTTAATTTTTTTTTCCGCAGTTTTTGAAATGGGGTCTCACTATGTACTTAAAGCTGGCCTTGAACTCACTATATAGCATAGGCTGGCCTCGGACTAACAGCAGTCCTTCTGCCTCAGCCTCCTAAGTGCTAGGATTATAGGCATGTGCCACGACACCCAATTCTTTCTCACTTTTTTTTTTTTATTGGTATCAGGGATCAAGGTGGTGGAACCACTGAGCCAAATCCCTGCCCCCCCCCTTTTTTCTTTCTCACTTTTGAAGAATGGTTTTGCCACCTTAGGATTCTTGGTTGGCAGATTTGTCTTCTAGCACTTTAAATATAGTAACCCAAAATCTCTGATGAGAAGTGATGCGATAATCTTTTTTGTTGTTGTTTTGTTTATTTGTTTTTTGAGACAGGGTCTCACTATGTAGTTGAGACTGACCTAAAACTCACTATGTAGCCCAGGCTGGTTTTGAACTCACAGCGATCCTTCCTGCCTCAGCCTCCCGAGTGCTGGGATTACAGGCGTGCGCAACCATGCCCAGCTGAGCACTCTTACTTGCTTTTGGACAGTGAGGTACTGTCCCACTTTTACTCTTTAGTCTGCTCTGGAATCTGTTACCCCATACCTAGTAATTTTGATGAATGAAAAATATCACTTTATTTCTTTGATTGCTAACAAGGTTGATAAATCATGTTTCTACCTGCTTATATCAAGACACTTAATATAGCACAAAGATCATAAAGCCACAATTATGATACCTGGGCAAAATTATTCTCTTATTATCTAATTCTCATCATCGCTATCAAGGGTTATATAGTTTCAATTTGTTAAAAGAAACATCTTAGGAAACTTTTTTTTTCCAGGGTACGGGGTATCAAGCTCAGGACCCTGCGTTTGCAAGGCGGGCATGGTGCCACTAAGCTAAATCCCCAGCCCATGTTAGGAAACTGTTACTGGAACCTAAACTAGGTAGACTATTTTTGAACATGAAAACATTATTTCATCATAATGTGATGCTTGATTATCTTCTGAATCATAGTTCTTAGACTGTTATTCTAATATATTGTTGTACTAGTTCTAATAATTCTAATTGTTCTAATACTGATCTGCAGTAAGTAAACACTGAAAAATGGATAAACTCTCAGTTAAACCTGTTGTTCCACCATCATATAGCAGTTGTAGTATATATTTTTATTTCATTCTCAAAAATATTAGAATTTAATGGTGCCAATATTTATTAGGATACAAGGATTAATGTTAGTGAGATACTGTACTCCAGGTCTGTATCCTCACCATGATCCTTAAAAGTGGATGTTGTCTTCAGAGTTTACAGACAAAAAAAACGAACCTCAATAATCGTTAAGTACACATCTCAGCCACATAAAGGATAAGAAGCGGAGGTTTGGTAAGACCACAAAGTCCATGTTCTTTTTATTTGACTACAGTACCTCACTGTGTCAGAAAAGGAAAAATTTGGTACCTTGGGTTTTTCTTATTTGTATGATATAAATACATATTGTTGGCCAGGCGTGATGGCGCACGCCTGTAATTCCAGCTCTCAGGAGGCTGAGGCAGGAGGATCATTGTGAGTTCGAGACCAGCCTGGGCTACATAGTGAGTTCCAGGTCAGTCTCAACTACATAGTGAGACCTTGTCTCAAAAAAACCCAAAAAAAAAACCCCCAAAAAAATAAATAAATAAATACATTTTGTTTTGTAACATAATTTTAAGTACTTTCTGTGGTAAAAATTACTTTCATCAGTCATCTGTCCAGATATATCAGGTCATTTCTAGTAATCTTTGTAATTAGAGCAATTACAAAGGCTAGTTTTGTAGAAAAGAGAACTGACTGCCTTTGAAAAGCATTTTCTAGGTGGGTGTGGTGGTGGATACCTGTAATTCCAGCACTCTGGAGGCTGAGGCAATAGGATCGTGAGTTTGAGGCCAGTATAAGCTACATAGCAAGTTTGAGAGTAGCCTGGGCTACAATAGTGAGACCCAGTGAAAATAAATGAATAAATAAATAAAAGCATATTTTCATGTGATTCTTTTATTCAACTGACATACTCATCAGAATGATCCTCTGGCCTCTGTGAAAGGTGCTACACTAGTTCCTAAGATAGCAGTATTGTTCTAGTATTGTTCTGCAGCATGCCTATGTTATTTTATTCCAGAAGAAATAGGAAGAAAATGAGTATTTGTCACAAATTTGAGTCCCTCAAAGCCTTGATCATAAAACAAAAAACTGGGGAGGAACTCTGGTATTTTGTATGTTCTAGTGTAACTTTTTTAGATATAACTGTTATTCCTACAAAAATGACTAACAACTTGTTTGATGACTATTGTAATATGAGCAGTAAGTGTCCTTTAATCACCATAAAACCGATGAGTTCATAATTGTCATTTATAAAAGAAAGCAAAACCATTAAAATTCTTTGGTAACTATTAGACTCAACTCTTGGCTTTAAAATTTGAAAAGAAGCCAGGCCTGGTGGTGCATCCCTGTAATTCCAGCACTTGGGAGATTGAAGCAGGAGGATCACAGCAAAGTCAATGCCTGCCTAGGCTACAAAGCAAGACTTTGTCTCAAAAAACAACAAATAAATTTGAAAAAAGAAATATGATGAGGTAAAAATGGTAAAAGCTTGATTATTGTTAAGTCTGGGCAATAGGTATATGGAGCTCATTTAACTGTTCTCTCCTACCTGTTTTATTATAAAAAGTTTTTTAAATCACATTGGTGTTTAGGGATGACAGAATTGAAAAGAAAGTTATTTAATACTTTCTTGTCTTTTTTACATGGTCGATTATGTTTCATAATGTTACAAAGTTACAAAATTATGTCCCTTTGATAGATCTTTCCCTAGACCACTCTGACCTAGTTGCAGAGTTGTTGAAGGAGCTGTCTAACCACAATGAACGTGTAGAAGAAAGAAAAATTGCTCTCTATGAACTCATGAAACTAACACAGGAAGAATCATTCAGTGTTTGGGATGAACACTTCAAAACAATTCTGCTTTTATTGCTTGAAACCCTGGGGGATAAAGAGGTAAATGGCAAAATATATAAAAAATAGTCTGTCCTGTCTCTTTTAGATTGCCTGTGAATCAGGTACTACACATACTCAAAATTTGGCAAGTCTTCTGCTGCTGTTCTCTGCATGAATTTTCACTATAAATTACTTTTTCTTCTAAATCAAGTAGCTTAACAATTTTGAGCAATTGACAGTAGTAAAAACTGAAAGGTTGCCTCACAAGTGCAAGGTCCCAAGTTCAATCCCCAGTACCAAAAAAAAAAACAAAACTGAAAGGTTGCAGGCTAAATTTTCATGGAAAAGTTCAGGTTACTTTTTACGTATTTAAACTAGATATTCAGAGGGCTGGGGATTTAGCTCCCTGATGCTGTTGCTGGCCTGCCTCCCACGCGCAAGGTCCTGAGTTCAGTCCCTGATACCAAAAAAAAAAAAACAACAAAAGCTAAGTATTCAGAAGTAACATTTCTTTATAGTCAGAATGTAGCTGTTTCTTGATTTCTTAGAAATTTTAAAAGTGCAATGTAAGTTTTCAACTACAGTTGCTAATTATATAGTATGCTACATACTTTATGTAATTGTCTACAGTTTCCTTCCCTCTAATACTAAGATATTTAAGTTACAGAAATTGAAAATGTTAAACAATGTTTACAACCCAAAATGTTAAAAACATTTACATGTTTCTCCTTAGCCTACAATCAGGGCTTTGGCGTTAAAAGTTTTAAGAGAAATCCTGAGGCATCAGCCAGCAAGGTTTAAAAACTATGCAGAACTTACAGTCATGAAAACATTGGAAGCACATAAAGATCCTCACAAGGAGGTAAGTGACCTGATAGTTGAATTGCTGTTTTATTCTCATGTTACTGCAAGAATACGTAAGCATCGCATTGAAAGTACTCTTAGGAATCATTTCCTTTATCTGGTCTTACTTTGCTGGATATAGTGGTGCATACGTGTTATTCCAGCACTTCAGAAGCTAAGGCAGGGGGGATCGCAGCAAGTTCAAGGCCAGCCTGAACTGCATAGAGAGTTCCTACTTAGAATTTACCAAATATTCCTTTCAGTTCAACAATTAAAAGAAAACCTAATACTTTAAGTGGGCGAGCAATCTGAATAGACCTTTTTTCCAGGGATATACAGATGGCAATAAGCACATGAAAAGACACTTGCAGTTGTTAAAAAAATGCAACTAAAACTATAATGAAGCCCACAATTTAGCTCAGTGGTGCCACCACGTGCCTTGCAAGCAGAAGGTCCTGAGTTCAATCCCTGGTTCAAAAAAAAAATATATATATATACACGTGTGTTTGTGTGTGTGTGTGTGTGTGTGTGTGTGTGTGTGTGTGTGTGTGTGTAGATAGATGAACACTTAATACCCACAAGAAAGACAGAAAATAAGTGTAGAGTAGTTTACTTTTTTAGAAGATTTTATTGAATCTTCTTAGAAGAAACATAACTTTTAAATCTATCTGGAGTTTTATAGTTTTTCAATATATCAATAACATCTCACTGAATGTTTAAAAAGCAGTAGTAGTTATTAACCTTCTGACCCTGTAATAAGGCCTGTAGCATTCCTATTTTAAATTCCTAAGGTGTAGTAGCTGAAATGAGCCTTGGATCTGCTGACTTCTAGTGTATTTTCTACTGTACCTTTCCAAGAACCTTTCACTAGTTGAGAGCATATGTGAGCCACTACCAGAAAAGCATCAAAGCAATTATTTTTATGTTTTTAATACTATCTTTAGAGATTATAATTTCTAATAAAAGATAACTGTTACTTTTCATGGTAGTACCAGTGAGTGTTTCACCCTCCTCAAACCCAATACAAAGGAAAGAAAATCATTCTTTTAAAAAGGGAGATAGGGCTGGGTGTGGTGGCGCACGCCTGTAATCCCATCGCTCGGGAGGCTGAGGCAGGAGGATCGCTGTGAGTTCGAGACCAGCCTGGGCTACATAGCGAGTTCCAGGTCAGTCTCAACTACATAGTGAGACCCTGTCTCAAAAAAACAAAAAAAAAGGGAGATAGGGCTGGGGATTTAGCTCAGTGGTTCTGGCGCCTGCCTCACAAGCACCAGGACCCGAGTTCGATCCCTGGTACAAAAAAAAGAAAGAGGAAGGGAGGGAGGCAGGGAGGGAGAAAGAGAAAGAAATACAAACTACTTTAGTTAACAGTAAAAAGAAACACCAAGGGAGAACGGTGAAATAAAGCCCTGTGAATTCATCATGTAGCTTCAACAGTTACTGGCATTTGCCAATCTAATTTATTTTTACTTCTTCTTCTAATTTATTTTTTACTACTTATATTTATTACAGAATTTTAAAGCAAATCCCAAATATCATGTCATTTTAAAATCCATGAAGTTTATATTTCCAGAATATAAAATAAGATTTTTTAAATTGCTTCCCATTTGTTTTAGGTGGTGAGATCGGCTGAGGAAGCTGCATCAGTGTTGGCCACTTCAATTAGTCCTGAGCAGTGCATCAAAGTGCTTTGTCCTATCATCCAAACCGCGGACTACCCAATTAACCTGGCTGCAATCAAAATGCAAACAAAAGTGATAGAGAGAGTGTCCAAGGAAACCCTTAACCTGCTTTTGCCAGAGATCATGCCAGGCCTAATACAGGTAAGGAGCGAGGTTTGGAGGAACAGGCTATGATATATTTGATATTCTGCTATTTTAGGCACTTTGCAAGCAACACTAGTGACACAGCCAAACCGTTCTTGTTGTCCTTCAGGATAAAGACAAAACGAGTATACCATGAGTAATAAGAAAAGGGACTCTTATAGTAAAGCTACAAAGAAAACATCACTTAAAATACAGAATACAGAAAAGGCCAGCCAGGGATTAGCTCAGTGGCAAGCACAAGGGCCCTGAGTTTGATCCCTGGTACCAAAAAAAAGGAAAAAAAAAAAAAAGCCATTTTGTTTTGTTTTGTTTTGTTTTGTTTGGTACTGGGGATTGAACTCGGGTCTTTGCCCTTGCAAGTCAGGTGGCGGAACCACTGAGCTAAATCCCTGGCCCCCAAAAAAAAAAAGCCATTTTCTTATACATGAGTGACACAAAATAGTTGTGGGGTCTCCCCTTCAAAAAAGAGGAAGAAAGCGCAAGGTCCCGAGTTCGATCCCTAGTACTCCCCCAGAAAAAGGAAGCAAGATAATGGTTTATAATATACTTATAATGAAGGTATACTGGAAAAATAGAGCCACAAAGCAAATGAAAACTTTTGGCCACATTTAAGAAACAAAGTTTAAAAATGTAAGGTACAATAAAAGCTATTTAAAAACCTGAAACAATTTTTAAAGTTCATAAAAGGAGTCACTAAACAGTAAATTTGAAACAGCAAGTAAAGTTCAACAAAGAATTTGATAGTATATGACGATCAAAATGTATAACAGATAATGTGAAATAGGAAGAAAAGGTCCAGAGGGGAAGTGGGAGCTGTAGGGGAGAGGAAACAAGGCAAAGGAATAAATATGAGAAAAGGAGGGCCAGGGCATTCAACTCAGGGGCGCTGTGCCTGCCTCACAGGCGCAGGTCTTGAGCTTGATCCCTGGTACCCTCCCCCACCTAAATGGAAACAACAAAGTCTTTGTAAGTGGGGAGGGGTGGAGGGATTGAAGGGAGGGCAGAGGAATGAGGAAAAAATAAGAACCAAGATATATCAGGCAAAGGTATAAACTCCCAATGATGAATATCATCATGTGGTATACCTAAAATGTACCAAAAAACTCAATGAATTTTTTAAAAAAAGAATTTGAGGGGCTGGGGATGATGTAGCTCAGTGATTGTGCTGCCTGCCTTGTAAGCGCAAGGACCCAAGTTCAATCCCTGGTACCCAAAAAAAAAAAAGGAATTTGAGGGGCCGGGGATTTAGCTCAGTGGTTCCACCACCTGCCTCAAAAGCACAAGGACCCAAGTTCAATCCCTGGTACCTAGTAAGAATAATAATAGAATTTGATACTCTAAATTTTAAATAGGACATAATCTAAAGACAAACGAAACCTATATATAGATAGGTACAAAAATTTTAAACTGCATTCAATATATTTGTAGTTAGGAAAGATGTTGATATGTTTATTTTGGAATAGGAGCAACGTTGAGGTACCAATATTACTTCTAGTAAAAATACATGTGTTTCTGGGTGTGGTGGCACATACATGTAATTCTAGCACTCCAGAGGCTGAGGCAGGAAGATTCCCATGAGTCTGAGGAAGCCTGAGCTACATCGTGAGTCCCAGGCTAGCCGGAACTACATGGAGATACCCTGTCTCAAAAAAAGAAAAAAAAAAAACGATGTGTTTAGAGCCAGGTGTGGTGGTGCACGCCTGTAATCTCCTGATGCAGGAAGATCGCTGTGAGTTCAAGACCAGCCTGGGCTACATAGTGAGTTCCAGGTCAGTCTCAACTACATAGTGAGACCCTGGCTCAAAAAACAAAACAAAAAAAACTCTATGTTTGTGTATGTGTGTATAAAACAAATAATGTGTCACAATATCTTTGAATCGGATATATCAAAATGAAATTAATTTCTTTAAAAATGTTTCTCATGCCTGTCTGCTGAATTAGTATCAACCCAGATTGTAGTCTCCAAATGCCATGTTCCTCCCACGAGTTAAATATCTTTGGAAAAATAACTGGTTCCACAATGAGCAAGAAATACACAAAATAAATCTTGGAAATCTTATATCTGTTTGAGGGTTAAAAAAGATAATGCTGTAATGGATTAAAACACATCAGATTTTGAAATGAAATTCATGAGTTTATACTGGCATATATTAAATTGGTCATCTTGAGGGTTCCTGGGACACAAACTCCTTATGAAATCGATTAATGAAATGAAAGAAAGCATATAGCTTACCTATCGTATTTTAGCACAACCAGTCATTTGGTGAGATAAAGGATTTTTAGGAGAATTCTAATTAATAAATGCAGGAGGAATTATTGAGTTATAAAATTACTGTTTTAGCCCATTGATACAGTGGATTTATGAAGCGATTTTTCAGTGACCGTTAAAAACATTAGGTGAAGAAATGATGTGGCAGTGTGTATACGGAAAAGTTAGATTACACTGACGCCCACTGACCAATCTTAATACCACTGCAAGTGGGACTGCTGAATGTTATGTATCTTTCTATGAGGTGCACCACCGGAAAAAAATTACCTAAAACAGTTCATTGAATTTGAATCCAGTAGAGCTTGTCCATTTTACTATCAAAGTTCAGAGCACAGGAAAAATTTTTTTTAATTACACCTTAAGGATATATCATCAAATCCATAATGTTGAAAATAATACAACAAAAATTACCAGACGTCTTTTTTTTTTTTTTTTGTTTTTTTTTTTTTTTTTTTTTTTGTACCAGGGATCGAACTCAGGTCCTTGTACTTGCAAGGCAGGTAACGGAACCACTGAGCTAAATCCCCAGCCCCAGGCATCTTTAATAAAGAAATGGCATGAGCCAGGTATGGTGGCTCATGCCTGTAACCCCAGCATTCAGGAGGCTGAGGCAGGAGGATCACTGCGAGTTGGAGGCCACCCTGGACTACTGTAGTGATTTCAAGGCCAGCCTGTACTGACTGTAGATAGTGAAATTTTGTCTCACCCCCCAAAATTAATAATAATAACAATAATGAAATGGCATGAATAAAGGGAAAGGAGATTTAAAGAGCCTGATCCATTTGAAAAATAAAAATTAAGATGGGTCAGGCATGATGGCACATGCCCATAATCCCAGCCACTTGGAAGGCTGAGGCAGGAGGATCCCAAGTTTGAAAAGAAAGAGGGAGGGAAGGAGAGAGAGAGAAAGTGTCCCCCTTTTTTGAAACTCTAAGATCTAACTAAAAACTGTGGTTACCAAGGAAGTGCCTAATGAAAGAGGCCACCAAAACTCAGTAATAAGCTGGACACGGTGGTATACACTTAAAATCCCAGCTATTTGGGAGACTGGGACAGGAAGATTGCAAATTTGAGGCCTACCTGGGCAATTTAGTGAGACCTGACACATAACAGAAAAGTTACTTAACTGCCTATCATTCCCCACTGCTTAGTAGCTGTGGGGCTTATAATCCACATTCCTGGTGCCTGGGAGAGAGAACGTGGACCTTGTTTTTATCTCCAGTGGCTCCCTGAGCAACTGGCATAAAAACTAACCTTTGTTTCACCTCCTCTCAGGCTGACGTGACTTCCAGTGTGGCACTGTTGAAAACATTTAAGGACATATACTTCCCTTAGCCACTTGAGACAAGGGAGAATAGACAAGTCAAATAGCAGCAGAGATACCTGGTAAGACGAGGCTGAGGAAGAGGATACTTGGTGAAATAAAGACTTTGAAGGTCTATCAAATATCCTAGGAAACCCAGCAGAAGTGTGCTCAGTAGATTCCTTAGTGAACCATAGGCTGGGACCACTGGCTGATCCTTGGGCTTCATGCAAGCAGGAAGTGAGGCTAATGCAGAGTCGTTGATGCCCTGGCTAAATATTGAATGAGCAGGAGGGAGGTTGTGGGAGAAGAGACAAACTTACAACACAAGGGCTGAGAGTATAGCTCATTCTAGCCCTTCCCTGTCATGAATGAGGCCCTGGAGCCCTGACTTCTTCTTATCAGGAGATTCCCAGCCCTTCAAAACATACTAACTCACAGCCCTATAAAATGGTTAAATTAGGGTATATACTAAGTATATACCTCATAGCATTATTATGAAGACTATATAGAAAATTAATTTATATTATTATATTAAAATGGTGAGAAAATACAGCGGTTTAATATGTTTATTATGAAGAATATATTTACTGACTACCTTGATATTTTAATAATGTTTCTACTTTTTTAAAAAGATAAAATGATCAGGATTGTAGTAAAGACAAACTGTTTTCTCCCAGTTAAAATATACATATATAGAGCCAGGCGTGGTGGCGCATGCCTGTAATCCCAGCACTTGGGAGGCTGAGGCAGGAGGATTGCTGAGTTTGAGACCAGCCTGGGCTACATAGTGAGTTCCAGAGCAGTCTGAACTACATAGTGAGACTCTGTCTCAAAAAACAAAAACAAAAAAAAATATATATATATATATACGCACACACATATATTCACATGATTGATTCAGAAATACTTTATGAGCTGAGTGTGACAGCACACACTTGTGATCTTATTTGGGAGGCTGAGACAGGAGGATCTTCAATTCAAGGCCAACCTGGAAGATTTAGCAAGACATCTCAAAAGTAAAAATTTTGAAAGGGCTCTTGGTAAAGCTTTTGCCTGGCACACACAAGAACCTGGGTTCAACCCAAAACAAAATAAAAATTCAGGAATAAGGTTTCTGTGGATGTTAAAACAAAGAAATACGGCTTATCAAGAATATACCAGTAGCCGGGCATGGCGGCACACGCCTGTAATCCCAGCACTCAGGAAGCTGAGGCAGGAGGATCGCTGTTAGTTCAAGATCAGCCTGGGCTACATAGTTCCAGGGCAGTCTCAACTACATAGTGAGACCCTGTCTCAAAAAACCAAAAAAAGAATATACCAATAAAGAGCTAATAGGGGTGGAGTGCATTGTTAGTGGAAGAAGACTGTCTATGACTGCAAAAGTTGATAGCTCACAAACTCTGCTAATGTAAGTTGAATTATGTTTGTGAGCTCTTGTTTTTGAGTTGCCTGTCTGTGTGTAAAAGGTGGTTTTCTCTGATCCCTTGGAAGCACTAACAATGGACTTTTCTCCCCAGGGTTATGATAACTCAGAGAGCAGTGTTCGGAAAGCTTGTGTCTTCTGTCTAGTAGCTGTTCATGCGGTAATTGGTGATGAACTAAAGCCACATCTCAGTCAACTCACTGGCAGTAAAGTAAGTAGTGCTGTATCATGTTAAAAATGGTAACCTTTAAGCCAGGTACAGTGGCACACACCTGTAATCCCAGCTACTTGGGAGGCTGGAGCAAGAGAATCACAAGTTCGAAGCCAGCCTTGGCAATTTAAGGAAACCTTGTCTCAAAAGAAAATAGAAAGGGCTGGGGATATAGCTCAATGGTAGAACTCCTGGGTTCGATTCCTGGTACGGGAGGGAGAGAGATGGAGGGAGAAGGAGGGAAAGGCAGAGACTGATGGAGGGAGGGAGAAAGACAGCGAGGTAGAGGCATCGTGCAAGTGAAAGGGTAGATGTGTTACTCAGCTTTTCAGTGAGTCACACTTAGAGCTTTTAAGTGTCTACTTATTTCTTATTCCTCCTCTTTTGCCTCTTAGCTGTTTCTGCTTCTAGCATCACTACTTGAGTAAAGTCAGCAGTTCGGTAGGGTGACAGAACATGCCAAAGCTTCTGGTTATCTATACCAGCTAAATGACTCCTCTCCCACTCCCACACCCAAGTCTTTACTTCCAAGGACTGTTTCATTAAGATTAGACTGTTGGGCCGGAATTCAGCTCAGTGACACCATGCCCGCCTTGCAAGTGCAACGTCCTGAGTTTGATCCCTGGTACCACAAATAAAAAAGAATAGATTGTTTATATCTCCCAAAGGGTGGGACACTTGAATTTTTTCATTGTTTATGAACTATGATAATCAAATATTTGCTCTCCTCGTCTATATAGGCATTCCTCATTTAATGACCAAGTTGCAGTCCTATGCCTAGGTAGTTCATTGACTTGATCAATAAATGAAGAATTGTGTATCATATGTATACATTACAGTACATTACAATATTCAGAACATGGGCTGGGGATTTAGCTCACAGGCACAAGGACCTGAGTTTGATCCCCGGTACCAAAAAAAAAAAAAAAAACAATATTCAGAACAAAGAAATAATCAAAGGAAACTCCAGCTTAATGAATTTGCTTTTATTTTTATAATTCTCACATGCAGAATCATAATGTATAACAATATAAAACTATAGTACTGTACTATAATATAGTGTAATAAGCAAAAATTACAGTACTGTATAAACAAAGTTTACTGTACCAAAAAGGTATTGATGCTCTAAAAATAAGATGTACATACTGTACCAAAAAGGGGGGGGTCAAGTCCAAATAGTGTGCCTTGGTTGTAAGTCTGAGCAGTCATTTAACCAAGTAGCTTCTTAAATGAGGAATATCTGTATCATTACATTTTTATCAGCAATGGCTTGGGCATTGTAATAAACCCCAGCCTAAAGTTTTGTTGTTGGTGGTAGTGGTACTGGAGATCGAACCCAGGACCTTGGACTTGCAAGGCAGGCGGCAGAACCACTGAGCTAAATCCCCAGCCCAAGATGTATCCTTTTTAAATTGTTTATGTTTGGAGTAAGGGTGTCACGATGTAGTTCAGGGTGACGTTGAACTCATAGTGATCCCCTCCTTCAGCCTCCCAAGTGCTAGGATTACAGCCGTGCACCACTATGCCTGACTACAGTGTATCTTTCAAAGCCCACATATAAGTACATAATTTTTTAATGAGCATCTTACAGTTTTGAACAGCTCGCTCAAATTACATATGGTTGGCTTGAATCCACAGATGAAGCTACTGAATCTTTACATCAAACGTGCACAAACGGGTTCTGGAGGCGCTGATCCCACTACTGATGTTTCTGGACAAAGTTAGTGAAGCTCACTGAAGTAAACCAGGTCTCTCAAACAGAGGACAGACAGACCACCCTCATCAACGAAAAGGAATCTCAAATACATTTTTAGGAACTTAATCGTTTCCCAGTTTTGGTTTTCTGTTTTGTTTTTGTTTTGTATTTTCTGTAATAGAGAGCTATCCTCAGACTGCATGTAACTTTTATGATAGTTATTCCAAATTCAAGAAGCAGTATTAACATTAATTGGTCAATACGAAGTAATTTTTTAATCTAATTCATCATTTCACATGTTTGTACTTTGTCTTCCCATTAACCTTTGCCAGTGTTATGATTGTACACATTTTTTAAAATTCTGGTTAAACAGGAATGCTTAAAGCTTTAAAGGTTTTAACAGTCTAAAACATTTTTTGCCTCTATTCAACTGCAGAATAATATTTTTATTGCTACTTTGAGTTTTGTTCTGTATCATGTCCTATGCTAGAAATATTGACAATGATGTGAAACAAAGCAGGACTAATTTTAACTTCAGCCAGACTCTGTTGCTGTGATGGTGATACATACGTCATTAGTTGCAACTTCTTTGAGGTGATCAGTAGTTTGAAAACTAAGACCTCAAAGAGAAATGTTACAGAATCAGCCAGTTTTACAAAACTGATAGTTTGTTGGTTGTTGATCTTGCCATCTTTATTTAAAACCATGTTCCTTCTATGATCCCTTAAGAAAGCTGCACCAAATCATCTGCCTGTTTTATTTGACACTATTAAAAGAGAAGGTTTCGTTGCAGGGTCTTTTGGTTTGTTTGTTGTGAATGATGCTTTTTTGTATTTATTAATATCAAATTCACTTATGAATAAACTTGATAATGGAAACAGACAAAAAAAAAATCAAGTGCATGTGTGTCCTTGACTGTCTTCTGTTTCTTAATTTAATAAATAAATAATTATTGAGACATGGGAGTCAACCAGCACCTTTTCTTTAAAAGGTGAAACCTGGTTTCCTTTGACCATGAAATTGTCTTACTTGAACAGTGATCCTGATGAGAGAGAAGATGGTGCCAAGGCTATCTTGTATAATAGGCTCAAATTCTCTACCTCTTCAGGGCTAATACTTTTAAATGAGCTGCTGCCTGTAGTGTCTTTTCGAAAACAATTTAAAGGGTGATTTTTTGTTGTTGTTGTTGTTGTTGTTGTTGTTACTTTTAAACGAATTTTTGTAATCACCTTTTGCTAAACCTGTTCTTTTCACATGCAGCCAACCTTCACAATTACCAGTTTGGGGGCCAGGGATATAGCTCAACAGCACCACGCCTGCCTGGCAAACACAAGGTCCTGAGTTCAATTCCAGGTACCAAAAAAACAAAGCAAAACAAAAAAACACTATTACTTACCAGTTTGGGTGAAAGGCCAAGTTAGATAATTTGGAACAAGAATAGTAGTGATTTCTCATCTTAACTTTTTTTTTTTAAATCTTAACATAAAGTGAATTTGACTGGAAAGGCAAATGGCTATTAGGGAAGCGATTTGCTGTTGTTACAGAGTTATCTGTACTTTCTTTGTTTAAATGAAAAGATGTAGAAATGTATGTAAAGAATTTAAGACAAGAGTACTGAATGGATGATTTGTCATGGGCTTTCTCCTTTGTTTCTGTTCTAGCAGCAAGAAAATAGTTTATATCCTCTCCCTTTTACCTGTAACAGTTTTATTTTTTACTGTTAATTACGTTGTGTATTTATAGTTCTATGCTTACTGTTGTGCATATACTGGCAATAAAACTGTACATAACATTACTTGAAAAAGTTAATGTATATCAACTTTTTCTGTGTCCCTGTGTAACAAGTCACTTATATAGGTTGTGGGGTTTTCTAACTTTAAAAGAAAGGTCTTGTATCAATGATGGGCTCAATATTTTAAGTGCATCTAAGGAAAAAAGATTAGGAGTAGCAACCAAATCCAGTATATACAGCTATTTATATATGCATATATTACAGAGTATCTTTAAAAAGAAAAACAGTTTTGGTTGGTTCGTTGGTTGGTTTGTGAGACAGGGTCTCACCATGTAATTCAGGCTGGCCTTGAGCTATGTCCTCCAGGCTGGCCTCTTAACTCATGGTGATCCTCCTGCCTCAGCCTTCTGAGTGCTGGGATTATAGGCATGTGCCATCATTTTGACCTCTCTCTTAAGATACTGCTCTAACTGCTGTTGACAATTAAGTAACTTAAATTGAATAATAACAATAACTAAAAAATTAGATCAAAAACATGGCATCTCACAGCAGGCATTCAAGAAATAACTGTGTAACAGAAAAGCATGGTTTAATGTATCTTGATGAACGCTAATGAGTATAACCATGAAAATTCTATAATTTCAGTGACTCAGTGGTAAACCACTTACCTAGCATGCACAGTGCTCTGGATTTGATCTCCAGCACTCCAAAATAAGTAAATAAAATAAAATTACACAATTTAATTGAGAAAGTTACTGACCATTCCGATCACTATATACAATATACCCTTAATGTGTCTATTCCAGAAACAGATGTCAGCTATTTTGAAATGAACATAAAAAGGCCAGGGATGTAGCAGTGATTCAGCACCTGCCTAGCAAGCTTGAGGCCCTGTGTTCAATTCCTGGTACCACAAAAGAAAAGTAATATAAAATAAACATAAAAAGCTGCTGCTTAAACCAGGTGTGGTGGCATATGCCTGTAATCTCATCACTCTGGGAGCCTGAGGCAGGACTACAAGTTTGAACCCAGCTGGGCAACAGAGTGTCTTAGTGAAAGCCTGTCTCAAAATTTAAAAATAAAAAGGGCTGGAAGTATAGCTTAGTGTGAAGGCCCTTGGATCAATCCCCAGTATCACACAGGCCCACAAAAAGCTGCTGCTGGGCCGGAGATTTAGCTCAGTGGTGCTGTTCTGGCTTTGCAAAAGCAAGGTTCTGAGTTCAATCCTTGGTACTGGGGTTGCGGGGGAAGCTATTGCTTTTTTCATCCTTGTCTTCTCCCCCTCCCCCAACTAATTCAGTGTCATTCATTTACCACACTGCTGAAGACTAAAAGATTACTAAAGGATTGGGTGTGGTGGCACATGCCTGTAACCCCAGCACTCTTGGAGGCTGAGGCAAGAGGATCCCCAAGAGTTCAAGGCCAGCCTGGGCTACATAGCTCAAGACCAGAAGCAAGACTGTTCACACACAAAAAAAAAATATATATATAGGCACAGTGGTATGTGTGCACATATAATCCTAGCTACTTGAAGGCTAAGGCAGGAAGATTGCTTAAGCCTTAAAGTTAAAGGCCAGCCTGGGTAAGACAGTGAAACTTTGTCTCAGATTGTAAAACATTTATTTCTTCTTCTAGATTTCAAAATATATAATAGGCTTACATTTTCAAGTCAGATACAGTTTGAGCTTGAGTTTGCAGACTAGGAGTTAATTTCCTGTTCCTCTAAATTCTTAGGAACACTAGATCTAAAGGACTTTCACCATCAAGTTAGTCAATATAAAAGACTATCATCAGGCCAGATCTATAAATTCAAGTGTATTTTAAAATTATTAATTTAGAAATAAGATTAACAGTTGATAGAAATGAGAATTAGTATAGTACTACATAATCCATGTTTCTTGTCATATCTTTGCTTTTTTTTTGGTTGTTTTTTTTTTTTTTTGGTTTTTTGAGATAGGGTCTCACTATGTAATTGAGACTAACCTGGAACTCACTATGTAGCCCAGGCTGGTCTCGAACACACAGCAATCCTCATGCCTCAGCCTCCCAAGTGCTGGGATTACAGGCGTGCACCACCACGCCTGACTTTTTGCTTTCTCTGGTTAGCTTATTTCAATTAATACAATTTCTGCAAATATATAAAAATCTAGAATTCAGTGGAAAAAAAGTTTAAAAGTTACCTCCCTTTATTGTAGGATATTTGGAAAGTAATGGAAAGCTGAAGAAGGAAAAAAATTCTTCTACAATCACCACTTGAAATAATTTTTATTGACGTTTTGTGAGTGATAAGTTTGAATTAATACTGAAAACTAAGGAAACATTAAGTTTTTTTTACTAGAAGAGTGACAGGATTAGAATAAGCTAACATTTTGAGGCCGGGGATTTAGCTCAGCAGTTCAGTGGCCTGCCTTGCAAGCGCAAGGACCAGAGTTCAATCCCCCGTATCAAAAAAATAAAAAAAGAATAAGCTAACATTTTGAATGCTGCTGTTTGCATATGGATGTATTTAGTGATACTTTGAATATATTCTTTTTTTATTCTTCCAAAGAGAATTCTAATAGTGGCAAAGTTTTCCACTGTATGTGTACAGCATAACCCTAATAATCACTGTTCTTAAAACAGCTACATATTTGGCAAATCTCCCATGATTTCACATTAGGCAGTTTTTTTGTTTTGTAGGACAATCACACAGGACCACTTTGTTTGTTGGTTTGGTACCGGGGATCAAACTCAGGACCTTGCACTTATGAGGTAAGCAATGGAACCACTAAGCTAAATCCCAGGCCCTACAGGACCACTTTTATTCAAGGCGTATACAATGTGGAGTATTAGCATACTCCTTACAGTCTATTCAGCGAGCATTCACTGTTATGGGAAAAGCTTGAGTCTTGAAACACTTTTCTACCCAAAGGTTAGTATGAGTCAATAATGACATAGAACCACTTACTATAAAGTGAGCTTATTGCTAATAACTTTATAAAATTTATTCCTGATACATGATGTTACAAACTTTAGGGTCTTTGAGATATGCAGGATCCTTGTATGTAACTGGCATAAACCCCATGATTTGAGCCCTCTTTTTTGTTTTTTTGTTTTTTGAGACAGGGTCTCACTATGTAGTTGAGACTGACCTAGAACTCACTATGTAGCCCAGGCTGGTCTTGAACTCACAGTGATCCTCCTGCCTCAGCCTCCCAAGTGCTGGGATTGCAGGCGTGCGCAACCATGCCCAGCTGAGCACTCTTACTTGCTTTTGAAACTTCTTTTAGTTTCTTCCCACAAAGACCTGTAATGCGCCTCCCATGGATGCATCCAGTATATGGAGAAATAAACTGGGACAAAATCTGCACATTCTTATAATTTACACATTTCCCACACAAGATACATTTAAGAGGTTCCTTATAAGGATTTTCCATTTTAACAAAGAGGTTCTCATTGCTGGTTACCTGTTTATACTGTGAACAACCTCTTCTCCATAGCACCATGTGAGTTCCGGAATCTGTGAGACAGCAGCTATTAGCCAGCATGTCTACTTCTTTCTTCCTAGATTACTGCAAACAGTGAGCACAGCAGCCATGGATCCATGTCCTTCCTCTTTCTTTTCTCGGAATCCCCATATTAGGCAATTTTGTAGATATCTTTAATATAAAATTGCTAGATACAGAAAGTCATTGTTTATCTGAAGATACACTAGTTGTTTAAAAGCTAGCTTTGTGCTGGGGATTTAGCTCAGTGGTTCTGCTGCCTGCTTCACAAGCGTAAGGTCCTGATTTCAATCCCCAGTACCAAAAAAAAAAAAAAAA